GCATAACAGAAGAAAGTTTAAGGGTTTCTCTAAAAACTGTTTTTATCCCACACTTCCTTAATAATTCGCCCGTCATTTTTGACAGCAGGCATAATGGTAAAATAAGAACACGGAAAAAGGTCTCGGCATGACTGTGTTTGAGTAAATAGCCTTCTCCTAAAAATTAATTCCTAATAAAGAGATATTATTCTCAATAAAGCTCAAAGGTTAAGTATTTTCCTCGAATTAATTCGTCAGCCGTTCCGATTCAATAGTCAAATGTTTACTATCCGCTAGCCTAATACTCCTAATAATTATTGGCTTTGAAATTCTAATTTTACTTTTATCACTATGTTAGGATAGAAAATTAAGTAAAGAGCCAACATATGTTGGCGTTCTATAAACATCTCTTCTTAACTTAACATCTTGTTTAATTATTTGAAATTATTTTATTTCATTATCATTGTGAACCTAATGTTCCTTTCACGCTGGTTGAGCGTAGTCGAAAACTATCTAAACTTTCCTTACCATGAGGCCAGATAAAAAATACTCATCTATATATCTAACCAACAATTTGGGGGCTAGTATTGCCTTTTCCAGGAAATGCTCTTCCAGTCTTGCCATATAATCGTTCTCCATATGGGAGCTAGACATGATACCATCGCTAGTTCCTGTGATTTTTTGTACAAATTGCCATCAAAGTTAAAATATGTGCTACTCATGCATAATCAGTCTATTTATGGAAGCCAAACGGCTGTAGTACAACGGGATTCAACCGCCCTCTTCTGTTAAGATCGACCTTCGAATATCTTCTTCATACACTTTCATACAAAATGAAGGTCCAATAAATAATGTTATCTCATGAGATACATCGAAAGTCCGTTACCCTTCATATCATCAATAATTTTAATTATCAGTCAAAAATATTGTTTATTAATTAAATATCTATGATTACTTATTTTATATGTATTAAAATTTAAGGAAGTGTTATTGTTTATTATAAATATTTTTCTTTTTACGTATTGAAATTTCTGTAAAAGTTTGTTGTCATAGTTACTTATAAATATTGTCACATTCAAATTGATAGCATTTTTATTAAATGGCTACTCTTTTATCCCACCAATGCCCTGAAGGGACTTATTCATTTTCAAGTCAGCCTAAGGTTGCCCCTCAAAGGAGAAATTATCAGGATAAATTTAAATGGTATTCGTGAGATGATTTTCTATAACCAATATTAGTGAAGATATACCAGCTGAAAATAAATATGGGAACATTATGTATGACCGTCGTGTAATAAGAGGAAATACCTATTCAAGCCATATATTGCCTATTTCTGCTCAACCAGATCCCCTTGAACTGCAACGGCAGGCGGAGCTTAGACGTCGCCTTATCGCCCGCCGAAGAGCCAAGGAACAAGTAAACTAACAAAAACTGTTTTATTTAAGTGTTGACTTTAAAATTAGATTTTAATTTTATTTTGTTGCTCAGCTAAGGTCTCGAACACCTCCACCAATGGAAGGAAGGCAGAATCAAGATGTCCAAACGCATCTTTATCTCGAGGAATTAGTCAGAATTGAAGAGACTGAAGCCGATTCCCAGACAGATGCTTTTCTGGATATACCAGAGCCTCCTTTATTTATACCTGCAAAGGTTGGAAGGGATGTCTCAACACAAATTCTTGATGGAGAGGTAATTATCTATTATTTTGTTCGCATAAGGCCTTTCATTATAAGTTATTCTAATGGATTAATTTAACAAAACCAAATATAAATGCCCTAAGATTTTATAAATCCATGCTAGTTAGGCTAATTTTTATAATTTTATGATCTTATATGCCTTTATCTTTATATTATGAACATCATTCTTTCAATTTTAGCTCTTTGATTTCGATCTAGAGGTTGTGCCTATTTTGGACGTTCTTGTAGGCAAAACAATAGAACAATCTTTGCTTGAAGTAATGGAAGAAGAGGAACTATCCGATTTACGGGCTCAACAAAATGCATTTGAAGAAATGAGACAGGCTGAGATGTATGAACAACAACGCCTTCAGGAAAAGGATAGGAGATTGAGGTGCGTTTATACTTTATTTTTGTCTGATCATTATATTAACATATATCTAAGGAAATTGTCCTTGTATAATCGAGTTTTGCATCTAATTAGGGAAGAAAAGGAACGCCGTCGTCAACAGCAGTTGGCTACTCATAAGCGTAGGAGAGAACTAACACAAAAAATAGCTGCCAAAGCATTTGCCACTGCATATTTAGCTGATTTAGTCCCGAATGTATTTGGACAACTAAGTGAGCATGGATATTTCAGTGATCCAATAGAAAAAGGTAATCTTTAATTTTATCTTGAGCTTATTTAGAATTAATTTTTCATAAAATATTATGATTTTGATTTCTATTAAATTTTAAGATATTGAAGATGGCTATCTTCCTTGGTTGATGCTTGCTGTAAATGAAGAACTTTTGCTCCAAGCAAAAGCACGTTTGGTCTTGGATGGAATGATAAGAGAAGTAAATTTTGCTTTGTACTTATTCCAATACTTTTCTACGTTAATTTCTAATGAAGCTCAATTATGATATATAAAGTATATTTTTAAGTATTTTTTAATGAAGTCTTCCTATATATAGATTCTACACGTGCACTTTCATAACTCCGTCTACTTAGAATTAATTAATTTGAATTTTGATATTTTAAAACTTCTCATAAACTTTCTTTG